GACAGTTTGACCAACCATAATAATTGTTCTGTATAAGATTATAATGGGGGTTTTTTACCCTTGTTGTATGCCGCCCAGAGTCGCTTGTTTGTGAGATGGGCAGCCGAATGAATGAATGAATGAATGAATGAATGAATGAATGAATGAATGAATGAATTCCTTATCCACTATGCTAAACTGACCATGTTTTTTTCTCCCAGTTAATGGAATGCAGAATTACAGCCTAAAACTGAATTCTTTTCCTACTTACTTGGGGGGAAAAAATCACCTGAGCACAAGAAAACTTATTCCTGAATAGAGAGGCAGCATATTATATTGTTGGGCAGCAGTCCCATATATTGTTTGGGAATAAACTCAATAGAGGAATATCCAAGTAAATATGTATGATTGGAATCATAGCTACTCCAAGTGCAAACCACTATGTAAACTGAAATCTTAAGCTGTGAATATTTCAATTGGTTGTCTGAATTGAGTGTAAATATTATCCTGGAGAATCCCATCTCCCCTGTGTGTACTGAATGGAGGGACTGGAAAGTGGCATTTTGTGATCAGTCTGGTAGACATGTACTCAAAAGTGTACCTGATTGTATACTTCCAGCAGTTGACTGAGATACGCATTTTTAAAAATGATGTTTTTCTTCAGCTTAACCAAAAGAGCAGCCACATAAAGTTTTATTTCTCTCAAATGAGGGCAATATTTTACAAGCACTTGAGAGTATGCTATCTTCTGTATAATGTATATATGTTGAGGAACCAAAGGATGTACACTGTAAATGAAAGATTGGATACAAACATTTTTAATGGCTCCATTAATGACATGATGAGAAATGACTGAAAACATTTTTCATTGACTAGATGCCAAGACAGCCTCCCCCTACTAAAGAAAGGATAATAGCATTTGATTTTTTTTTTAAAGAAAAAAAGAAGTTTCCCATCAAAAAGCAGTTTTTCACATATCTTTACTATAGTGGATAATTGACCCAGAGAATCAAAGATATTTGTCCCTTGGCAGTGATTCACAAGCCTATTCTGTAATGGAAGAATGGATTCAAAGCCATTAAATAAAAAATGTTGTAGTGTATGGTACACAGAAAACAGGATAATTTTCAAGTTTGAGGAAAGTTGAATTTCCAGTGCAACCCACCTAGAATGAACATTGCTATACAATGTTGATGTATTGTTAACGTGTTATAGCTTTTTATACAAAGCTTCTTTTCATATGTCTATAGATAAACCAGGTTTTCCACACTAAAATAAAAATCCACACTGAAGCAAAATTCATCTGCTTATCCTTACCTTGCACTCACCAGCCCGCAGAACAGCCTGGAGGGGACATGCCCAGGTTCTCACAGGAAGAGGTACGCTTGCACCACTATAGTCTGAAATGGCCAGTAGGCACCAGACTGATCTCATTCTCTATGGGTCACCTTCCTGTGCCACCAACAGGTTGGGTAACAAAGCACATCAGATTAGGCCCTCCTTGATACAGCTGCTGATAGCAGGACAACTAAGGACTTCTTTGCGCTGCCTCAGATACAGGCTGAAGATGAGATGAAGACAATGTCATGGGGATGCAGCCAGGGTGTATTTTTCCCATCTTAGTTGCATGTAGGGAAAGGCCTTTAGTACTTAGAGCAAACACACATCAAGAAATAGAGAGGCAGAAGATATGTAATATAGAGGACACTAGAGTGGTAGTCTCCTGTACATTAGCTCTGATATCATCTAGCAAAGTTTGTTTTTTTTAGAAAAGGCTGGATATCCTTGAAGCATAATTTAACACATTACTTAAGGTGTGTATCTCCATTTCTTTAATGCAGTGAAGACAGAATGGCTTGACTCTTCTGTTGTAATTATGTATAGGATCTCCTGCTTCTTCCAAGATAACTTGAAAGAAGCTGTCTTCCAAGGCAGTTACTGTAGCTTGAATACTTTAGATGTGCATTGAGCTAGGTGGATTTCGCTCTTCAGGGAATAGATAATACATAGATGGAAAATTATTCAGTTTCTCAGGTTGATGCAAGATAGCAATGTCATCAAGATAGCTCAGCACACCAGGCCTGAGACCAGACACAGCAAAGACCCTGAGTGTTTGTTTTAGTGCCATTGCCACTGATGCTGCATCAAAGAAAAGCAAATTTGTTCTGGGGATAACAGCAGCAACAGCTGAAGTTGTCCAGTAAATATCCAGTAAAATGACTTGGTAGGATTATCTCTGGATTACTTCCTTTGTAGTAAATATTCCTTGTACTTTCAAGCTCCTGAAAGCAGGCTTGTTATTGTATATTACACCATTTTCAATACATACTCATTTTGTAAATGTTGTCCTGGATGTGTGCTGTTGTGCCATCTTTCCAGAGGTAAGGTATAAGGCTACAAGTTGTAATTCCATGAAAGGAGACATGTTGACATCACAAACCCTGGGAGAAATTTGAGATGTTTATTAATAGAAACACTGTCACAGATACAAACACAACCTTCTATTTACTCACAGAGGATAGTTTGTTTTACAGTGTCTGGCAGTGAAAATAGAACATTTGTTTGTAGGAAAAAATAATGTACATCTATGCATGGAAAGATCCTGCTTGAAGATATTCTATAGTTTTGACCATCTCTATCACCATATAGTGAAGAAAAGCATGTGATAGATTGTTCCACCACTGCAGCATCACCTCCAGAACACTTTGGGGGATCTTTTCCTTAATACGGTATTTTTATTTTGTTGGGCTATAATTGCAGTTCATTAAAATAACAGATTCTTTGAAATTAAATGTATATCGATCTAAGTATAGAAAGGCTGTGTTGTTATTATTAACTCACCCTAAACTGCAGAACATTTCAAGTGTTACATTTTGCAGTTTATGACATTGTCACAACAGCAGTAAAATAATGTATGGACATTCTCATTTATTCTAACTCTTTCATCATGTCAAATAACCATTCTATTTAGCACTTATTCTAACTTTTATAAAATCTGAAAGACAATGCATATCAATGAATGCACACTTCAGTAAGAGATATCAAGTAATGAGCATCTGAGAAACACTCTTCAGAGAAAATAAAATGATAGTACATAATTACGTTAAGCTTGCAGATGAATTGCTTCTGTCAATCAGTCTTGTGCACTGTTAATAAGAAAATGAGCACACAGATTTTAATCCCTTGCAGACTTTTTTGGGAAATAAAATGTGAGATTGTATCGGAATAGGAGTGTCCATGTACAACAAGACTGGGTTTGGGGACCATATTCAGCATTTTGGAAATGTTGCACTTCATTTAAAAGCAAACCCTCGGTTCTTTGGTCTAATTTAGTATCTAAATCTCATTACAAGATAGCAAGATATCTTGCATTATGTAATATGTTAGAAATATAGATGGCTGTACTTTTTTCAGCAGAATGGGAAAAATTTATAGACAACCTAGAATGCTATGATGCAATCAGTCTTTCTAAATTTCACTGAAACCAGCCTAGGCACTTTTGATCTAGGTCTTGTTCAGGTGACACATTCCCACGTACAATATGCTTCAAGGTGCAATGGCAAGAGTAGCTTGGCAAAGAACTGGGGTCTAACAGCTGAAGCATGTCTGCCTGCAGATAACAGCCCATGCATACACATGAATACCTCTACTTGAGCTAGAATCCTGATAATGCACTCTTCATTAAAATTTAATATTAATTTTCATGGGAAAATGTTTGATAAAATTGAAGAGTTATTTTGTGCAACAAGAAGATGAGTAAAAATGATGACTTCCTGAATGCACTGAGTGCTGAGCGCACACACACACAAAACACAATGTTAGAATTATTTAGCCACTGGAAGTGGTTGGTTAGCAAACAAATGCTACTATGTAGCATATGGAAGGCTACAGTAGGGTTTAAAATGAATAGAGAAACAGAATAAATCATTGCCAAGGAATGGAATGCTAAGCATTCTATGTTAGATACAAGTGGTATTTACATGTCTCCAAAATAGTTTCCCCTTCTTTTATTGCTGTTGCACTTCACCAAAGCTCCAAAAATACCGATGAAGACTGGAGCTTCAAGGAGGACCCGATCAAGAGCTTAAATAAACAAAGCTAAATTTGTCTTCGTTGCTTTTTTCAGTTTACCAAAAGATCTGTCTGAATTACTCCAGATTGCCTTGAGATTCCAGACTCATCCAAATCTGATAAATATCACTGATTAGCCATACTTAAACTGTATTATTTAATTCCATTGAGTAACCACACTTAAATAGCACTATCCGGTTTTCTCTTTCCCCAAGGCTGAGGTTTAAACAGTTAACAGTTTCTCCATACAAGGTAATCCAACTATTCTTTTTAAAAGAAAATAGAACCACAAACCTAAAGAGCTTTAACCCAGATAATTGTAAATTCCTAAAATTACAAATTATTATCTTTATAAGACAGCACATTATCTGAAGAAACACTGATAGACTGATGATAAATACATAATATTAATTTCCTAGGTCTCATAGATTTATTCATTACTGTTTTCTGTAAGTAGGATGTATGAACAGTAAGGCACTTGGCCAAATATTCACCTGGAATTACCTATCCACCTGCCAAGCTATGAGTTCTAAAATGGTAACCAGAGTGATATGGAGCCAGAATTCTTCCTGTACACAGGCATAACTATGCCTCCACTTACTGCTTTGTTTGTTTGCAATATACTGACAGAGGGAAAAACATCACTGCTAGGAGTTCAGAAGAAGGATGATCTATTCCTTCTGAGAACCAGAAAGGCTCATCCAATAACTGACAGCTTTAAAGTGTATGAAATATAATGGAGCCAGATGTGCATCACAATGAGCTTCTAAAAGAACCCACAGGAGAACTCTCTAAGCTCTGATGGAAGGACAATGTGTGGTGGAATGTATGACAGAATCATCTGCTATGAGTTATGGAACAAAATCGAGGGGGTGTGTGTGTCTGTCTAACATTGTACAGGACAGACAGGGGAGAAGGCCAGAATTACATGATTGTCAGCAGTTCCTAAGGAATCCTGTGGGATACATTTTCTAGAGCCAACTGTATTATATTTTTCCAGTTTCAATATCATTTTCAGATGACAACATTCTGGAGATCAACCTTCCATGGATGCTAATCAACAGAATACACAACCATGCTCTGCTTTGCTTCAGATCCTCTGACTATTTCACTTTTCATGAAGATTTCTGTGGAGAATCTTTAACTGCTCACCTGAAGCCATATATTTCACCACATCAAAGCTAACGGTAACAATTCCCTTGATATTTCTAGTGTTTCCCCACTACATATTTAAAAGTTCTTACTGAGGTGTGTGGGGTTTTTTTTTTGGTATTCTCTCATTTGCATTTTCCAAATTTAGAGACTGTGAACTGATGCTAAGTAGCAATGTGACGTTCAAACCCACAGGATGTGAAAGTTCTGGATTTTCTGTATTTTGCACATTTTCTTGCAAAAACAATTAACTGTCTTAGTCCTGCTCTTAAATTCACATCTAATAAATAAATAAGTTCAGACAGAGAATCGATGGCTTACTTGATGTTTGGCCACATTGTCACTGGTCCCAGTTAGCAATCATGGTAATCCAAAACTATTCAGATCATTAATTAACTCCCATTTTAAGCAATGTATGAGGCATGCTATATATTCCAACTATCAATAATGTTCTGATATTTTGGATTATTTGAATCTTATTTATGTGTTACTTATTCTTCAGAAAACTGTGGTATTATTACAGAAATATAGAACATTGCATTCAGTGAAGTTCCACCATTTCCAAGAGGTGCTCCTTCAAATTAATAAACGATGCAGCTCTGTGTGTGCATCTCTTAAAGTGAATTTTCTGCTTTCATTGCAATAAACAGGCCACCCAAAATAGGAGGTTTATGTATGCAGCACAGTATAATAGGGCTCTGTCTATAGGAAGAAGTTAAATAATTTCCAATGATACATTTTAAAGCCAAATAAGGCTTTGGCTACTTTGGCCTCATAAAGTTTAGAGTTTTTCCCCTTATATTTTAGAATATAAGAATATTCTTATATAGAATATCTTGGATATTCAGCACCTGTAGAAGCAGAAGCAAATTTGAATGCAGGTGAAGAAATTGATATAAGGCCTCAGTTCTGTACAGCATACTTTCTTCTTTAGCTACATCCAGATGGAAAATTCCAAGTTATCTGATACAAGTTTAATAATTATGCTAGAACTGTTAAACTGAGCTGGGTAGTTTGAAGCCTCTTTACAATTATGAATTTTGAATAATGTAGATGTTTGATAATATTAACTAGACATAATCCAGTTAATTATATATCAGATCTATAATATACTTCCAGTTGTTTGCAGATGGTAATCTAGATAATCCACCAGATTTAAAAACTCTGTGATCCAAAAGTTCAATGTGCATGCATATACGTTCAAAAAGGTCCTATATACTGCAAGAAAACCATTTCAGTGAAACAAGCATATCTGCAGTATGCAAGAATGCCACTTGGTCTGGGGTGGGGAGGGAATACTTCAAGCGTGGGGATGGCTAGCCCCATAGAGACCTGCTGTCTTCAGCCCCAGATTCTTCCTCTTCTTGGACTCTCCTTTTCCTTTTTTAGTAATGTTTTTAAATCGATGTTTTATGTATTTACGTATATTTACGGTTGTAAAGTTTTGTGTGAGTCGCCCAGAGTTCCCCCATTGGGGGGAGATGGGCGGGGGAGAAATTAATTAAATAAATAAATAAATAAATAAATAAAT